TTTAGACTTTAGACTGCCTAAACTATTCAAATTGGTCTTAATTTAGATGGAAAAAATACAGACAGGCCCATTGCAGATTTGTGAATTCCATTGCACAGTTATAAACATTCAAAATGTCAAATACCCCCACTCTATACATAATGCCTGCCCGTGAACTGGAATCAATTCCGAGCTGTCACCTATCCCAACTGTACTTTGGGCCTAAAATTCTGACTCTGAGCTGAACTGTTTTTCCCCCTAATTTAGATTGATCCAACTCAAACCTGGCCCATTGACACTCTAATCTTCTGTCAATGAACCGGATATTGGTTAAATCCAACCTATTACAATATAAATCCATTACAGATGGGCAAGGTCCAATCTAATCCAATAAATACTTTGGACTATTAGGTCTGAGCTGATCCAATTCAACATGTCTTATTGGTCCGTCCAACCTATTCAAATTGATTTTGATTCAGATGGAGCCCAACCCAAATCCACAATTTGTGCTTTCAAACTCGAAAATTAAGCACAGCTATGAGGCTGGAAAGTGTTTTGGTTTTCCAAGCACCCAAAACACTTTCTTGGCTCATTTTTGTTTCTTACGGCCCAAAGCTCAGAACCCAGAAGCAAAATCATATCCAAAGAATCGAATTGGAAAACACCCCAGAATGGTTAAAACCTGCCAAATGATGATTTTCCATATTTGTAATGTAATCTGTCTCGAAGGACCAATTCACCGTAGGTATTCGTTCCAGCAAAAGGAAATGCATACGGAAAAGGGTGGTTTGGATACAAAACATTCCAGGTGAATCAAGATGATTTTGCCCAATTTTGAAGTACAATTTTAAGTTAGGGTTTAATTACGATTACGATACATTCTCTGTGATAGATTGCATGTGATTGAAATTTCAACCAATCATATTAAAATCTGTTTACGTTTACATTGTATTCACCATTACATTCAACCAATCCCATCTACATCTTTTGATGCACGATGCAACAGGATACATCATGCATTTTGCCTTAATTTAAAATAGTAGAAAAGGAATCTATCATCTCACTTATTAGAATCACTTTCCTACGTGGATTCAACGATGGAACAGGCTTTGAAGGGAAAAGGAAAAACAGAAGGAAAAAGCTTTTTGTCGTGAGACGGGAGCATGTTCAAATACATAAGGGCCCCTGTAGCCCTGTAGAAATGAGTCCCATCTCACACCAAAACCACTGGTCAAATCTCAGAAGTGCCCTCTCCGAGGGACCCTTTGGACGGCACTTTGAGTCAAGGACACAATGTATTAACAAGGACTAAAGAGTGCTTCAATTATAATCGATGGGTCATTGTTTTGTGTTGGTAGGTTCATGCATGGGAAAGGAAGTAGTCTTTTTCTCAATTCTCACCCGAGGACGGACCATTCATATTACCAAAATTATTTTGTTATCTACTTTTGTGGTTGCAAAATGAAAAGCTCATGGTTTCATGCCTCCTCCTGGGCTTCAACCGACCTAACCTATCTATCACTCTATCACTACCCAAACCCGCCTACCATCTGGGCTAGGTCTTTATCGTGTTAGGTTGAGTTGGTGTTCATATTTGACAACTCAACCCAACCCGGCTTACTCTTCCTTACTTACAAGCAAAAACTCTGTACACACCCTGAAATTATGGAAATTTTATCACACGTTCTTATAAATTAAATACGAATTTATGGGGGAGATGTTCCCAATGTATGGATGGATGTTCCGTGAGCAGAGCTTTGTTTTTCTTACAGGAACATTCCCTGGGACATTAGGAATATCTCCCGTACATTTAACATAAATTCGTGAGGAGATATTTCTAATGTATGGATGGATGCTCTGTGAGCAGGATTTTTGCTTGCACGAGATCTGGTCTGTTAGGAAAAGGGCTGTACCAGTTCCAAACCAATTAATAATAAGCTCCATGTCATTGACCCAGAATCGTTCCATTTATTAATCAGGATAATCAGGTCTATAATTACCATGAAAATAACGATTAAAAACTTTATTTTTTATAATACAATCTTAATATAAATTACCATTGTTGCTGCCAAGGTTTTTAAAATTGACTCGGACAACGAATCGGTCAGGGGTCCGGTTCTCGGGTCGAATGGTCCGAACAGATGACCTGTTCTAACAAAAAAATTAAAAAATAAAAATAAAAACCGGCCAAACCGTTGAATGGTTCAAACGATTCGACCGCCTGGGTTAGCGGTTTGCTGACCAAATTAATGGTTTTGGGGGAAATAACGATTATGATGTAAAACGGAACCGATCACCTAACTGGTTCCTAGTTTTTTTGGTCCGACAATCTAGTCCGGTCTGGTTTTGAAAACCATGGTTGCTGCCAAATATGGAGCCGAGGGCAACAACGTAATTTTCAGTGTCTGAGGCCAACAGGTCTAACCTACTAAGAGCAGAAGTATGTCAGAGGCCCCGGGAGGTATCCCAAGGGTGGAAACCATGGTTTTCAAAACCGGATCAGATCAAACAGTCGGATTGGAAAAATCGGGAACTTGTCACCGTTTCCCCCCAAAACCGTTGATTTTGGTCAACGAATCACTGAACCGGGCAGTTAACCTTTGACCATTTTTTATTTTTTTTATTTTTTTTAATTTTTTTGTTTTTCTGCCAGAATGGGCCAAGCATTCGATTCGATTGGTCGAACCATTTGACTTGATAATCGGACCCCTAATTGGTTCGGTCACTGGGTCAGTTTTAAAAACCATGGTGGAAATGATCAAGTTAGCCGAGAGTTATGAGGGGTCGAACCAAACAAGATAAGAGATTTAGAGCTTAAGTTCCAATGTGCCTTTACTTCAATATGGAAACCCCTTTTTATAGTTGGAGTTATCTTAGAGGAGGAATAATTAGGAGCAGATGGCAACGGTTGGCAGTGATTGGTGATGGGTGGTCAAAATACATTCGGCTGACATTACGTGTCAGGGTCCACGGGATGACCGAAATGTGTCCAAATGTCGCCACGTCTCAAGATCTACGAGTCAGCCGAATACCCCTATATCAACTATATTGATAGAACAAGTGTTTTTAGCTAAATTTATCTAAATTAGGACAAAACCAGTAACCATAGAATCAGAACCGATATAATTGGTTTGACTGATCCGGTTCTGTATTGTAGATCCGACCCATTGACATCACTAGTTGGCAGGCCTCCATCAGACATTAGCTACAGCTGAACCATATACAATTCCATTCTAGCCCATTTCACCCCAACCGGCTCATTCTGTGAAATTATAAACCACTTTTGTGTGAGAGACATCTTTTGTCTTTGATTGTTTCTTCGGTGATTTTGAGACTTAAGTTGACAGAATCCAATACAATGAAAAGCTTATACTGTCTGCCTCTTTTTTTTTTCTGATGCAACTTTGGAAGTTTCAAGAAAAGTTGACACGTACGTATCACAATCCACCCACTCCCCGTCCCTTCAACCAAACGCCCTCCACCACCCGGGCCCCTCCTTTAAAAAAGTAAAATAAAAAAACGAAACTGAAATAATAGACAAATAATAAAATCCATATTCTTCCAATCACTTGCTAACATATAATGAAAATTTAACTGAAAATTACTGTAGGAGATCCTTCCACCCTACACTGAAGTCTTATCAACCATACTCTTAAGGATTCTGAGAAACTAGACATGATAATATAATGAGATAAGTATAAGAAACTTCCCAACTCAGAACGACCTGATTCAGTGAGATTTCAAGGCTTTTAACCTCAATTGTGCTTGCATATACAATTCTTTTACTCTCTGATTTTCTTACTGCATGGAGCAATCAGCTGAATCCTGATTTTAAGGGTAATTTCTTTTTCTGTTGAATAAAAGGTTTTGTGTTTGGTTATTTTTTCCACATGCTCACTAACTAACTATGTGTTTATTAAATGAATGCTTACATTTCATTTGTCTTCAAAATTGAGAAAAAGTGATTGATAAATGTGTTTTTTTTTTTTTTTTTGACAATTAGATGATACTAGATGCCATTAATTGCCACATTAGCAAAATAGACAAATGATGATTTGACGACGACATAACACCATTTATCAACGGAAACCATACCAAACACAAGGTTTTCTACAGATATCAATCGTGGCTACCACTCCCCTGGAAGATAACCATCACTTTTGCGCAAATTTTCAAAAGTAAAAAGATGAAAAGATAATGAGGCCCTCCATGTGGTGGGTTAACTAGTGTTCTATATATATATATATATATCAATCTTTCAGCTTTCCATCTCTAAATGCCAATATATATATATATATATAATCTTTCAGCTTTCCATCTCTAAATGCCAATATTTGATGGGTGTGATTGGATTGTAACCACCACATCATACATGGAACATTACAATACATGGCCGCATGTGATGCATGAAAACTGTTGCACCTCTGAGCAAACCCCAAAATGCAGAAAGTTAATAGATAAGAGTTGTTCTGACCAAATGATCAGAACCATCACAGAATAACAAATTGATTTGGGACAGTATAACCATTTGAAGAATCAGAAAACTATGTTCTCAAACTGGTATTTTGAACAGAACAGGGCAACAGTAGGCTGCAGTAACTCTGCAATGTAGGTCCATCATCCATGGATCCATTATGCATTTAGAGGTACCTCTTGTTCAGGGTAGTACAGTGCTAGGCAGCCCAATAATAGACCCACTGTTTGTAAGGCTTTTGGATTACCATCAACCTAATTGCTGTATAAGATTACAGGAATTGCACTGTTCTTACTTGGTAGAAATACAGAAAAAGGTAATTAAAATCACATTCACCCAAGAGTTAATTCATCAAAGGTTTAATGGGGACAAGAATGCCTTACCATTCACCCTAGCCAAATGCATACCCACTGCGAGCTTTTACTGTTACTCCTTCAAAACTAAGTAATTCGAATTATTCCCAGACCCCCTCTTTATTAAAACCATAATTGAATGTATCTCCTTTAAGCCTGTCCTTATCTATCAATATCTTCCGGACAGCCCCAACTCCCACCTGGAACGTCACATGCTAGTCGTTTGCAAATACTATAGAAATAGCTTTAACTTTCAGTGTTTTGATTGTAGAGAAAAAAACCAAGGTCTATTCCATATCCTAATATCCATGCTAGAGAAAGCATTCAAAGGAGTCTTAAGTGACTGGTTTTGCTGTAATTGCAAGAGAAAGATCACCAGCACGGTACCAGCAGGCTACCAACCTCATCATGTGTAACAAACTGGTCTATTTCTTTCTGTTTTTCCTCAACATGTCTACTTTCTTCCCAGCCTCTGCTCTGAACCAGGAAGGTCTATCACTCCTCTCATGGCTCTCAACCTTCAATGCATCCTCCTCTGCTTCTTTCTTTTCATCATGGAATGCAACCCACCAAAACCCATGCAAATGGGCATATATCAAATGTTCCCCAGACGGGTTTGTTTCAGAAATCTCAATCAGTTCTATCAACCTTCCTACTAGCTTCCCCACTCAGATTCTCTCATTCAACTCCCTCACAACACTTGTTCTATCAGGTGCAAATCTTACAGGAGAAATCCCACCTGCCATCGGGAACTTGTCATTGCTGTCCACCCTTGACCTGAGCTTCAATGCTTTAAGTGGAAAAGTTCCGCCTGATATTGGAAAATTATCCAGGCTGCAGATATTATCATTGAACTCCAACTTGTTACACGGTGAGATTCCGCCTGAGATTGGAAACTGTTCGATGCTTCAGAAGCTTGAACTCTTCGACAACAAACTCTCAGGAAAAATTCCTGCCGAATTTGGACAGTTGTCAAGTTTACAGGTCTTTCGAGCAGGTGGCAACCAGGAAATGTATGGAGAAATTCCGACGGAGATTTCAAACTGTAAAGGTCTCACTTTTCTGGGTCTTGCAGATACTGGGATTTCAGGGAGGATTCCATCCAGTCTAGGAGAATTGAAGAATCTGAAAACTCTTTCAGTTTACATGGCAAATCTCTCTGGCGAGATCCCACCTGAAATCGGTAACTGCTCAACTTTAGAGAATCTGTATCTTTATGAGAACCAACTCATTGGAGGTATTCCCAGCGAATTGGCTCTGTTGAAAAATCTCAAGAGAATCTTGTTGTGGAAGAACAACCTAAGTGGGAATATTCCAGGAGCACTTGGGAACTGCTTGGGCTTGACGGTTATCGACCTGTCGCTGAATCGTCTCACAGGTGAACTCCCTGTATTGCTTTCAAATTTAGTACAACTACAGGAGCTTCTTCTGTCGTATAACAACATTTCAGGTAAAATACCTCCTTTTCTTGGAAACTTTTCCCGTCTGAAGCAACTTGAACTAGATAACAACCAGCTCGTTGGTGAGATTCCATCCGAAATTGGGCAGCTGAAGGAGCTCTCTCTGTTCTTTGCATGGCAGAATCAGCTCCATGGGAACATTCCATTTGAAATGGGCAGCTGTGAGAAACTCCAAGATTTGGATCTTTCACACAATTTCCTCACTGGGTCAGTTCCTAATTCTCTGTTTAATCTCAAGAACTTGACCAAACTTATGCTTCTATCCAATGAACTGTCTGGTGAGATTCCACCAGATATAGGAAATTGCACCAGCTTGATACGTCTACGCCTAGGATCAAACCGGTTTTCTGGCCGAATTCCATCAGAAATCGGGCTCTTAAGTAGTCTGAGCTTCCTTGAATTATCAGAGAATCAATTCTCTGGAGAAATCCCCCCTGAACTCGGTAACTGCAATGAGCTAGAATTTGTTGATTTGCATGAAAATGAGCTACAAGGCACGATCCCGACATCCTTTCAATTGCTTAGGAACTTAAACGTTTTGGACCTTTCAATGAACAGATTATCAGGCTCTGTTCCTGTGGAGTTAGGAAAGCTTACTTCTCTAAATAAGCTCGTTTTAAGAGAAAATTACATTACTGGGTTGATACCCAGGTCTTTGGGCCAATGTAAGGATTTGGAGTTGTTGGACATGAGCAGTAACAGAATCATTGGCTCAATACCAGATGAGCTGGGTGACTTGCAAGGTTTGGAAATCTTATTGAATTTGAGTTGGAATTCTCTGTCTGGTCCAATTCCAGAAAGATTTTCAAATCTGTCAAAGCTTGCTTCCTTGGATATTTCTCATAACATGTTAACAGGAAGCCTGAGAGTACTGGGTATGCTTAACAACCTTGTCTCTTTGGATGTCTCATATAATAATTTCTCGGGTTATGTTCCTGATACCAAGTTTTTCCAAGAGCTCCCAGTAACTGTTCTTTCTGGTAATCGAGATCTCTGCATTAATGGCAATGAATGCAAAGTTGGTGCTAACCTCCACAGAAGAATTTTGATCAGAAACATTTTCTGTTTAGCTCTCAGTGTTACTGTTATTATAGCTATTATACTCTTGGGAGTAATATTGACCATACAAGCCCGTAGAGTGGCTGTGAAAGATGAGGAAGAACAGAATGAATTGACCTGGGAGTTCACCCCATTCCAGAAGCTGAATTTCTCTATAGATGACGTTTTAACGAGGTTGTCAGATTTGAACATCGTTGGGAAAGGCTGCTCTGGCATTGTTTATCGCGTTGAAACTCCAAGGGGCCAGATGGTTGCTGTGAAGAAGCTATGGCCCTTGAAGGATGAGGAGTTCCCAGAAACAGATTCATTCTCTACGGAGGTTCAGACTCTTGGATCAATCAGGCATAAGAACATTGTGAGACTACTAGGCTGCTGTACCAATGGGACAAGTAGGTTGCTCCTCTTTGATTATATCAGCAATGGGAGCTTACATGGACTGCTTCATGAGAAGAAAGTTTTCTTAGATTGGGATTCAAGATATAAGATCATACTGGGTGCAGCTCAGGGTTTGGCCTATCTTCACCATGACTGTATCCCTCCAATTGTTCATCGTGATATTAAGGCCAATAACATCTTGGTAGGACCTCAGTTCGAAGCCTATCTTGCAGATTTCGGCATTGCAAGGCTCATTAGTTCCCCCGATCGTTCGAGGTCATCGCACACTGTGGCAGGTTCCTATGGGTACATAGCTCCTGGTAAGTAAAATTGCTTCCAGTTTTCTTTCAAGTGACAAGTTATTTAATCAGCTGGTTGATTAATTCAGGAAAGAAAGAATGTATATTTAGCATAAACAAGTAATTATAATTGGTCTATTATTGATTGCAGAATATGGATATAGCTTTAGGATCACAGAGAAGAGCGACGTCTACAGTTATGGTGTGGTGCTTCTGGAGGTCTTAACTGGGATGGAACCAACTGATCAAAGGATACCCGAGGGAACCCACATTGTCAGTTGGGTTACACATGAACTTAGAGAAACAGATGGAGAAGCCACATCCATCATCGATCAGCAACTTCTGTGTCGATCTGGTACTCAGATCCAAGAGATGCTTCAAGTGCTCGGCGTGGCTCTTCTCTGCGTGAACCCTTGCCCAGAGGACAGACCCACAATGAAAGATGTAACAGCATTGCTCAAAGAGATCCGGAATGAAGCTGAGGATTTCAACAAATCCGGTTTTCTCAAGGGAGGGATGGCCAGCCCAAGGGCAGGAATCCACCATTCTAGTTTCTCAAGATCAACTGAACCACTGATTAGATAATTTCCCTCTGTTGCTTTGATTTCCCAAAGAGAAGAGATGCCTGTGGAGCTCATAAGTCATTCTCATTGAGAGAATAATTAGTCTAACTTGTGGGAGTGCAACAAATGAACATGGGTGTCTCCATTATTACTGCTCCTCATTCTCTCTGGGTCCCCAATAATTCTGCCGGTTGTACAGTCAGTTTGGCTTTGGTTTTGGTACCTTGATTTGTATGATAAATTTCTGTAAGTAAAAGATTAAAAGAAAATGGGTGAGATTTTAGTGTTGATACAAGCAATCCCGAAATGGGTGAAAAAAGTTTAACTCAACCATCTATTATTGTCACCAAAGTAAACTACTCTTACAGAAATGGATTAACCTGCTTAATAAATATCCTTGGTTGTAATACTGTATATCAACAATGCTGTCACCTTCCCTCCCACCCTGCCTTTGTATCACGATTGTTGTCCAACAGCAGAAGCAAACGAAAAATTCTGGAGCAGTCACAACCCATCTCCAATTGCAATTGCAGCTTTCAGGTTCAGACCGGTCCCCCACCAAAGACGCATCTCTTTCTTGCCAATTGAGGCTGTCTGAATGAATTTTAGCCGAAGAAGGGTCACGGGAAGTGACAAGATCTTGGTAGGGACTGGCACTGGCACTGGCACTGGCACTGGCATTGGCACAGGCACGAATTATATACAAAATAAAATTATGGGGGGAACAAATGGGCCATCCATAAAAATTGAAGATGGCAAACTCACACCCCATGTTCCTGATGCAGTACATTGCTTGTGTGGGCATGAGATACTAATCGTCTCAGCCCCACAAGTGATCTCCTTATCAAGCTCTAATGGATGACACTGCAAGCCACAATGAGCAAAAGTTCTTACTTTAGGAAGCTTCTCATACAAGTAAATGAAACTTTATAGTTAATCTTGACATCTCTACTACAAACCGGAATTATCTGGGAACCTTTGCTTCTATACTTTGTTCTCACGGCAAAGTAACTAAAACATTGGGAACAGTGTAAAGCCTTGTATATTGTGTTTTCTAAACCTACTATTTGCACTCTTCCCAAACTGAGCACAGATTGAGTGTTGGTTGATACGAATCATGCTTCCTTTATTATGTTATATTTATATTCTTGATTGAAGGCCTTCCCAAATACTAGATCAATTTTCTTGGCTTCAAACCCCCCCCCCGCCCCCCAAAAAAAAATGCTCTTTGCACATTTATACCTTTTGTTTATCAATTTTTTTTACATCCCCCATGCTATCAAGCTGTTTGAACCTGCCCCCTTGATATCATTTGGTATCTGAATGTTTGTTGTCTTAAGTATCACAATATGATTTCTTTTTTTTTTTTCTCTCCCTACGCCCAAATACTAAACGGATCCAGACAAATTATATAATAATGTAAGGGAGCAAAGATCAAATTACTGGACTTCTAAAATTGTTCAAAATAGAAAAGATAAAAAGAAAGAACAATTAACAGATTTTTGTTATCAATAAACAACTACTAGATTTCAAGCCAAGATAGTTATTACTACACAAGCATCTCATTATTAAAAATCATTAAGAACTACGGGGTTCCAAACCAAGATAGAGAAGCACCTCATTTATTAACAATTCTAAGAGCTGGAAGGAATTTTGCAGTTCATTTCCACATTGTTCATAAACGGTCCTGCTTGAAACTATGCACAAATTCCTTTTTCATTTACATTTGACCTCTCTCTCTCTCTTTCTCTCTCTCTCTCTCTCTCTCTCTCTCTCTTTTGTTCTGCTTCATCTTTTGATGGATTATCAGTAAGGGAGGACTCAGAATGGAGAGGATGTAAGTTTCAAAGAGCCAAAGCTGGCTCTCATTTCGATTAAGTAAGATAGACAACATTAAAGATATAAAAAAAACAAGTAAAACACCCTTAGTAATTAGGTACAATAGATGCAAAATGCAACATGGGACTACCAACATAGACAATTTTCACTTTTAGGGTCTTCTCAAATCCTAAATAGCATATCACGATTCAAAATCCTCCACAGGTTTCGGGTATCAAAATAAGCCTTGTTTCACATTTTGCTTGTTGGTCCCTTCCTGAAATTTCTCCAACAATCTTGTGTAATAGCCTGTGATTCCTGGAAATTTCAAAACTTTCATCAGTTTGACAACAACAGTATGATATGAAATGTGCATGTGATCTTTCAAGTGTCAAAAAATATTTGAAAGGCCAGAATACACACCTCAAAGTATGGTATACACCTGCAGATAATCATCTTGTGGAAGAAAAAGCAGTCATTGCAGATTACAAACTCTTTTCTGGATGCCACTTTATACTGCATCCAACACTTTTGGGAAATGGAGGGAAATGTATCTAAGAATGTAATCTAGGAAGACCAATCATTGGCATTTACTAATCAAGGAAACTTATGAAAGAGAAACATAAACAGAAGAAGAGGGTACCTTGGTTTCTGCACTGATGGTAATGGTTGGCCACTGAGAACACAATCTATTGCAAGGCTTAAATCCCTAGAAACATCAAAACAACAGGAGAGATGTAAATTCTAAAAAGAAGAGAAGTTGAGGATAGTTGTGGCATGCATGTCCATAAGAATGTCAAATGAGCACCTTCCTGTAACTTGTACGTTGTTACTTGGCCGTGAATCATCAAACTGCCCATGGTAAACCAGCCCAAATGGCCTACGACCATCCTGTTGCAAATTCATCAATCTAGAAGTACATTGGAACATAATGCTTTTCTAATTCTTTCATAACCAACTTTTTTTTTGGATAAAAACAATACTATATTAATGTGTGAGAGAAGGGTGAAAAAGCCTATAAATGATAATACAGACTATACATCCAGTGACAGTATAAAAGAAATTTATATCAATCATATAGAAGTTGGAAATTTAAGCCACTATATTCTTTAATGATAGAGGACCAAAAGTGGATCTACTATTTTTCCAGTTTCCCCATACCATTGTTTTTTTGGCTTCCTTTTCCTCAAAATAATTGTCACTTCTGCTTTTTCCAAATGTCCAGCAAATGGCAAAAGGAGAAGAGCTTCATAGAAAATGTTCTTACATGACCTTTCAGCTATCATGCTTCAGAAAAAAGGGATGGTAGGCCACTTCCCAACTAAACATTTTGACCAAAAAGTTTCACAAATGTGACCAGATCTCTCTAGAGGATTCACAGGTTACTAAAACATGCTACACTAATTCCTATTTCCTAAACAAGTCTTCACAGGTGACTAAAACATTTGACACAGATTCCTCACAGAAGTCAAACATAAAGAGAAAAAGAGGCCCAAAAGAGAAATAATGTAAGAGAATCCGATTTAAGTTGCTTATTTTTTTGGACAAAAAGGAAAGAAGCTATGGAATAAAACAATGTTAGATTTAGGCTATGTTTCAGTTCAGGGGAGCAAAAGTGAAATAGAAATATGCCCTCCAGAAGCACAGGTTATGAATGACTATTCCCCGTGCAAGAGGAAATGTTTTCTGCTAAAGAAGAGGGAAATGTGGCTACAAAGGTTGCTAGTTTCAGGGTTCTATTTGGACTCATTTTGTAGTCAAATTGTGAAATCCAGAAAATGGCACAAAACACATTACTATTCTGTTCGCTTTTCTATCTTCAATCCAGTCCAAGTACATCCTTCAGGTAATCCAATACCGGAAAATTCACTATCAACTAGGTTCTCAAGGGCTGAACTGAATATGGACGTCTTGAATTACAGAAGATGGTATTGGAATTTATATTTTTAGCCATGAATCCATATAGGTGTGACTCCAGTTAATTGTCAATCTTAACTGAAGTGGCAAGTTCCATCACTTCATTACATTTTTTGTAGCCTTCTTGTCATCGTATTTGTACTCCATCCCCTTTAGAACCTTGGGGAAAATACTCAATAATTTAAGTTTGCATCCTAATCTTCAGCAAGTGTATCCATTCTTTCAAAATGCAAAGCTGTATTTCATCAACCTATTGCTGGGGTTCTGAAATAAAAGTCTACCTGTCTGATGAGAAGTTAAAAGACAGAAAACATCACAGAGCAGCCAGATCTCCAGGGAAAAAAAAAGACTCAAATAAAGTCTCTCGAGAAGGAAGAAGCTAGTGGAATGCATCAAGCTGTACTAAATGCATTTCTGTGTATGCAAAGAGTCACCTTTTTAAATAGGAAAAATTCTGGTGTGCATACAGCTCCAAAACCCCTTGCAACCTCTTGTGACTGCAGCACAACATCCCCAGTTAGTAAAATATGATCAACTTGTCAAGGAAGAACTCTCAGTTGGATCGAAACAAATGACCAAATAATTTGATAAAAAATGGGACTATAATATGTTAAAGATAAGTAAATTTCATTTCTCAATGCATCAATCAAGTACATACTTTTGTAAAACCGGGCAATACATTCTAAGATTTAAGAGTCATAATCCCTTCCAGACCTCTTAACTTCTCTGTCATCTACTGAGATTGGTGCCAAATCCTAAATTTCTGATCAACTAAGGCCCTGTTTGGCGGTACATTTGAAAGTACTTTTCATACTTTCAAAAGTATGAAAGTATGAAAAGTACCAGAAGGCATTTGTTTGGGGTGTTTATTACTTTTAAAAAATACGAAGTAAAAGTACAAAAAGCACGAAATCAGTTTTTGATACTTTATGCTTTTTGGCTTTCTGACATACTTTCTAAAACATGTGCATCAACCAATATGTGATACTTATACACACCACCACGTGGTAGCATATATGAATGCCACGTGAAAGCATAGGCACATTAATGTATTCGGTGACACATGGCATGTAGTATCATTGACTTACTTTCAAGTGCAACATGGCATTCATCTATGCTGCCACGTGCCATCCACATGTCATTGGTCCAACATTCAGATGTTGCATGGCATATATGGATGCCACATGACATTTGAACATAATTAATGACAATCATATGCCACGTGGCATTCATCTATGTTGCCACATGGCATGTAATACCATTGACTGACCTTCAAATGCCATGTGACATCCACATGTCAATGACTCATATTCAAATACCAAATATGACTCATATTCAAATACCAAATGGCATTCATATATGATGCCATGTGGCATGCACATATAAAACATTTTACTGTATCCAAATGCCATCATTTATATTTACTTTGAAAATTATGTTTTGAAAAATTTCCATCCAAACGGTTTTTGAAGTAAAAGTATGAAATCAGAAGTATACCACGTACTCTGTACTTTGGTGCTGTTCAAAGTACAAAGCACGAATTACCGCCAAACAGGGCCTAAGAGGCTACCTATATGATTTCCTCAAGTCAATCATGTCACTATGTAAGTGACTTGACTGGGACAGAGAAAATTTCATCTATACGTAGTACCAAGAAGCCAAGTGCCAAATTAATTGGTTAGAAACCCACCATAAAATTACTAACTGATATAGTTAAATTATTAGAATTGAAGTTTGAATGCATATAATGCTCAACCAAGTTTTGGGAATGTATCCACTTATGGATTTGTAATTGTTATGTTACAATCTGATTTCTGTCTTGCTTTTGTTCATTGTTGATGCTTCCCTCTTGGATATAATGAAATGTCTTTAAATACTTTACTCTTATGTGAAGGAGGTGATATAAGGTGGATTAGGAATTTGAAGTTGGTTATACAACTCTTTGAGCAAATATCTAACTTGAAAGTTAACTTTGAGAATAGTTGCATTGTAGAACTAATATGGAGGGAGAGATTTCAGAGTGTGCAGTTATCTTGGGTTGTGTGGTTTCGAATTGGCCTACAAATTATCTGGGTCTGCCTCTAGGTGATAACCCTAGGAAAGGAAGCTTCTGGACCCCGATAGTTGAAAGAGTTCAGAAAAGGCTTGCTTCTTGGAAGAAAAACTACCTTTCTCTAGGAGGGAGAATAATACTTATTAGATCCAGCCTTGTTAACTTGCCTGTATACTTTTTGTCAATGTTTAAAATTCCTGTAGGAAAAAAAATCCTAGAGGGATGGCTAGCAAGTTGGATAAACTAATGAGGCACTTTCTTTGAGAGTCAGGGGAGGAAAGAAAGGACCATAGGGTTAGGTGGGAAATGGTCAGTAGAGGCAAAAGATTTGGAGGTCTTGGAATTGGAAATGTTCTGAAGAGAAATTTGGCTCTTTCAGGGAAATGGTTGTGGAGATTAGTTGCAGAGAAAGGAAAACTATGGGTAAAGGTTGTGGTGAGCATTCATGGGCTAGCAAAGAATGGTTGGGACGCTGGAAACTAGGCTAGGACCACTAGAGCCTCCTCATGGAAAGCCATCCAAGCCATCCTTCCACTGTTCTTGCTTTGGATCAGGTATGACTTAAATTCTGGTAATCGAATTAAGTTTTGGGAACAGATTTGGGTTGGGGATTCTCCTCTGAGGGATCAATTTCCATCTCTATTTGCCATGTCCAGTTATAAAATTGAACCTGTTTCTACCTTTTTGGTTCCTTCCAACTCTAATATTGGGTTCAGCTGGGATTTGGGTTTAGAAGGGCTATCAGAGACACAGAGCTAAGTAGTGTTATTGATTTAATCGCCATCCTTGATGGGGTTTTCCTGGATCCTACCAAGCCTGATAAGAGGATTTGGACCTTTCTCCTTCTTGATCTTTCACCTATGTTTCCTATTTCAAAGCTAACGCAGCTAGATAGTAGTGGGGCCTTGCCTTTTCCTATAAAAGAGGTATGAGGAAAACCTATTCCACAGAGGGTTAAGAGTTTTTGTTGGGAGGCCTTTCTAGAAAGAATCAATACATGTGATTTACTTCAAAGAAAAATACCTAAAATCTGCATTCCCCCTCATTGGTGCATTCTTTGTAAGGCTGAAGGTGAGTCCTGCTATCACTTACTAATTTCCTGCAACTTTGTTAGAAGTATTTGGGAGTGGTTCTCCTCTTGTTTGGGTGCAGGTGGACCCCCCACCCCCACCCACCAACTGTGTAGAGCTTGTTTGCTTCTACTTTCTTCAGCTGGCCAAAGAAAAAGGGAAAAAATAATGTGGAGATGTGGAAGGGCTGCCATTATCTGGACTATTTGGGAGGAAAGAAATTTGAGACTTTCTCAGAGAAGGAAAGAAGTAAAGAAGCTATCATGGAAATAATTCTTATCAGAGTGGTTTACTGGTTGAAGATCTTGGAGTTTTTTTACTTCTCAGCAGATCTTTTGGATGGTGTGGAAAGAGTGCAATCAGAGGATTTTTTAGTCTAAATCTAATGCAGTGGAGGTGGTTTTAGAGAAGGTGGAAAGGCTACTTGTGAGCTGGGCCAGGTGATCAAAGCTTTTTGTGGATGTGCCTGCCCACTTTCTCTGATCAGTGGTGGTCCATCATTTTTTGAGTTTTCTTTCTTTTTGGAAAAAATAGAGCTCTCTCTATACATATCTGTGCATAGATAAAGGCACACTTCTTTTGTATAGGATTGAGGGCTTCTCACCCTCCTCTTTTCATTAATACAATACCTTCTTATTATCTATCAAAAAAAAAAGACTTATCAGCAGATGACTTGCTAAGAAATTGGAATTCAATTGCTTTCTCATCCCCAGTTAAGGAGGCCTCAGTCCTACATTGGACTTCTCCCCCTAATGGTTTTTTAAGCTAAATTTTGATGGCAGCAGTGTTGGGAACCCAGGTCCTTCGGGTATTGGAGGAGTGATAAGAAATGAAAAGGGAATTTAGTTGCCCTCCTCTCTGGGTCAATTGGAGTTGGTGACTCCCTTAGGGCTGAGATCCTAGCAGCCTTGGAATGTGTCCAAAGAGCCAAGGAGATGAACATTTAACAAATTGATCATTGAAGAGGATCCAAATTGGTGGTGGGCTGGTTGAAGGAAAACAGAATGGGCACAACCAATGGGCCTACAGTAATGAAAAGAAAATATACAAATGGCTGATGCAGGACATTAAAATTAGAGTGTGCTGGATTAAAAGTGCTAACTCTTTCGCTGATGGGTTAGACAAACAAGGGGTGAACAGGGTTTCTTTATTTTGAGCTCAATTGTAATCTGTTTTTTTTTCTTCCAGAGAGTTAAGAGAACTTACCTCTCCTCAATGTATGCATATATTAGTACCACCAAACAAGCCATTTAATAGCTTGTTTACATGATTGGAAATTAAATGTTTGTCATCCAATATGATGTATGCATATATATTAGTAACAGTTTGTGGGTTATTTTTAGCCAAGTCTCCATATCCGAAAATTTGAGGTCAGACGAACCTGATTCCTAGACACATACCCACTTTGAAACTGCACTCAACTCCATGTAATATATAGGAATGAAAAGTTAAAAAGAAAAAAAGGAAAAAAAAACATTTATATTTGGTTCACTTCTACCAATGAATTATTTCTTGTAACAAAGGGAAGTAGAATGAATAGGTGAGAATGCAAACTTAAAGCAAGGATATTTTTCTGGCTTAAAATAGGAAAGAGGATTTTCCAAGTCTCTGACAGGTTTTCTACAATCTGTATCTATCAGCACTGATTAGCAGAGAATATTTTTCTTTGAAATGGAAGTGTGCTGATGGAGAAGATTCCCTCCATTATTCAATGGGAACACAACTGATAAGCTGATCTGCCAAGTCAACTAGCCATCACCAAGGTACCAACTAATTGATGCTTCATCTGGGGGACCAAAATGACTAGGCAGTGCCTAGATGCTTTGTTTGATTACACTGCTTTTCCATGGTCCCGTTCCAGTTTCCATCGTATAATACCAATGTAACAACAAAAAGGGCAAAAAAGATGTTAATGAACTACAAGTGCCTCACTGAACTAAATAGTGAAACCATTGAATTCCTTGAACTTGACAATTACATAATAAAATACTACACACATTATTTTTGAATCAAAGTATCCTCAAAATAATTCATGTAAAGGAAAGCAGATAAAGTATGTATTTCATTGGATCAACTTTGGAGAAAAGATAGTGAAGAAATTTCTAGAAAGAACAAGTAAACATGAAATATTGCATGACATGTAGGGTACAACTTGGGCAGGCCCAACCCGAAAAGTTACATGAGCTAGGCCCAGGCCCAAATCCCCAGGCTTTGCATTTTCCAGGCTGGGCCCAGGGCTAGCCCAGCCTGAACCTGGCCCCAACACAAACAATACATACACACCTATCCATCGATGGTTTAGATAGGATTATGCCATTTTTGACACATTGGGCCCAATAGGCCCACCTAAGCCCAAGTGATCAACCTGATCCCA